AATTCATTAAAGAACACAACAGCCCTATCAGACGTTGAAGTAGGAATCAAACAGCTAGAATTATCACTGTTACACTAAGTGACTTGAGGCAAATTGAAGTCACCCAATGCAACGACCAAATCGGTGGTTCTAGACCGCTTAGCCACTTCACATATGAGGGCAGCGTGTTTGTTGTAAATGGAGATATCAGAATTTGGGGGAATATGGGAGCAGGTTATAAATAGATGTTTATTAGGCATTTTCGCACAAATGGCGATCAATTCAACGACAGAAGAAGTGGGAAATTCAATTAAATTGGAAGGGACTGACGCAGATATGGCAATTAATACACCACCACCGATGCGATTCACTCGATCATTTCTAAAGACTTGGAAAGAATTATGAAAAAGTTCCGACGAATGAAGATCGGGTTTCATCCAAGTTTCAGTGAAGGCCAACCAGAAAAACTCCGTGCTCACTGAATTTAGAAAAGTGGAACGAATTTTCGAATTTAGGCCCCTAACATTTTGATAAATGAGAGATAGTCCGCCTGCAGAAACGATTAGTTTTTTGAAGGCGACAAGACTATTACCTTGGTATTACAGGGACGATCTCGAGGGATAAATTCCTTAATTAAGGATCCTACTGGCCACAATGATTTGTTTAACAACATATCACTGTTTTCAGTCGGAACTAATATTTTAAAATAGGAGATTGCCCTAGCTTGAGAAAGAGCCATTTTGAAGATGCTAACACGCTTTAAGTTGACTGATGGGACTTTCGTCGCCAGATAACTTTTTATGTTATCCACCGATGTTTCAGGTGCCAGTCTTGACACATATTGTGCTTTTCTGGGAGGAACTGCCGTCAAGAAAATGCCATTTATTGGAACAGGAGGGGGGTTCACGGTAGGAGAGTTTCGAGTTGGGGAGAATATAGATGGGGTTATCGCCCTTGTACCGGCAGTTTGTGAGACTTGCCCAGTCTGGTGACCAGCATTCACACGCGAACAGGCAGGAGGAGAGGATGATTTATTTTTCTCTTCATTACTTTTAGGCGATGGCGCTTAATTATAGTGAGTGGCGACTCTAGGCGAAGATACCCTTGCCACTTCAGCGTAGCTTAAAACCGACGGACTTGCCGGTTTGTTTGTAACTGTTTTGCTACCAACCGACTCAGCAATATTGGAAACATTACTGTTCATTTTAGAGTTAGAGGGAGCGGTAACTTGTACCAACGAATCAGATTTGAAGAAAGTCAGAGGTGACGTCCCACACGCTACGCTACAAGTAGAAGATGAGTGTCCAATAAAACGACACTCATCAAACCTAGACTTAATGAGCTCAAACTTTTCCTACAAGGAGCCGAGATTTCTACTCAATTCCGAGAAACCATAACGCGTCTCCGTGAAAAGTTTATAAAAATCAAAGTCCCGCTGCCTACAGTCAGGACATGTCCATCTTAAACCTTTAGACGAGTCAGCGATTGCGTCAGCAGCACAAGATGTATATAAACACTCCATGTCCAGTCAAAAAGACAATTGTGGATTATGAAGAACAAACAGACAAATTGCATAAAAAATCTTCAACATAAAAGTTTATCAACCAATTTGTGCAAAACTTCTCTGTTACGTTGACACTATAACATGATATAAAAAACAAAACAAACTACTAACACTGAAAAAATAAACAGAGAAATAGAGAGAAAACAAAAAAAAAAAAGAAGAGAGATTTATATCAGAGCTCAAGATTTTTGTTTCGAAAAAACCCATGAATCAAAGCGTAAAGAAAAAATACGTCTTTTACTCTGTATTCAATCACTTTCTTCTCAAAGTATATTATAAATGCACACACTATAAGGCAACATAGCCACGAAATTCAACAAAAAATTAATTTTTAATTACCGAAAACAAAATATAGACGACAATACCGCGCGACAGAGTTGCCAAACCTCCTTCATTGTTCTAAAACCTACAAAATTAGCGTCATTAAAAAAACCGCAACTTGTAAACTAGTTCTCAGAATTTTGCAGACGTACTATTTGAATGTTGGTACCATTCGGCAATTTTATGAACAACAGCGTAATGAAGTTTAATTGCTTTACATGCGTAGTTATGTTGGATAGATGCCTTTAGCTGATTAACATGGATACCTGCCGTGGAGGCTTAATCCCACGATACCCGATGGCACACGAATTGTGGAAACGCACATTCAGCGTCCTAACATAATCTCGAGCTCCAGGGGGGATACGTATATGGGCGTATACCCCCTTCCTAGTGTTGGCGAGGCATTATCTAAAACCTCTGTCCTTCTATGCACCTTCACATCAAGCCGAGGCTCTTCTTGCGATTCTTCTTCCCGCTGTCAGGCCGAAGCAGGAAGATTGCTTTAGGGGTTCTTGACACTCGTGGTACCGGATATAAAAGGAGAAAGAAAAGTGATGAAAGCAAAATAATAAAAATCGCCGGTCAGATAAGATCGGAAACTCGGTATGAGATAGAATCTATAGAGGAAGCTGCAGTAACAAAATACCAACCAACATGATACGCATGGACATTGCGTTCTTACTGGGCGGAGGAGACCGATCCCAGCCTCTTTTAATTAAAAAGGGAAACGGTACCTTATGGGTATGAGTGAGCAAAGCTCAATCGAGTTGAAACAATCATAGGAATGCAAGGAAACGTGAAAACGAGTTTCCATCACAATGACGTACAAGTTAGAGGAGTAGTTTCCGATAAGACTTATAGAACCCCATACGGATTACCCACCAATCAGTCAGTGAAGTCAAATAAACTGTGGATAAACCCGTCATCGCATAGCTTACACAGAGTTACCTAAACCTCGTCGAATAAGCTGGCGCTTGAGGAAAACACCAGATGCAAGCGCCCTCAATGCAAATGTCGTCTCAAAAGCAGAGAGAACCAGATTACAATCAATACTAGCGTGAACTACTCTGACTCTCATGGCCTCTCTATCTCTGAATGCAGAGTATTCAGGGCGCACCAACAACACATGTTCATAGACCGGAGAGACCGCCACATAGGCAAGCCCAAGTTTCAGAACGGCTTCTTGCATGAAAAAATGCATTCAGAGATTCGTGGCCTGTACGCAGATGCTAGCTAAAGCTAGACTCTGGGTGCTTTTCGACAAACGAGACGTCATGAATAAAGTTAAAAATGACTCTACTGTTCCCACTATTATCCCAACGACTTCCGCTCCCTAGAATTTAATCTCTCCACATACTGAGTTCGTAGCCCGTCAAATAAAGGCAGATCACTCTTTATTTTATAGGCAATGCTCAGACGCAAAACCTTAAGGTCCAGAAGGGGTGCACCCATCAATACCTGCAGAGCGTCAGTTGAGACCGTTTTACAAACGGGCGGACACGCCAACAACATTATGCGTTGGCAACTCAACACCTTATTGCGTCTCACATAAGACATGACGTTCGGGCACCACACGGGAGCACCAGTTGTGTGGGGCAGAGAAATTCCTATGAATCAAATGTACTGAAAGTGTAAAGTATATGGATGTGTATACTCGTTTCCTGACCCTGCTCGGCTGTTTCCGCCAACACTTGCACTCTTTCTATTGCCAAAATTGATTCGGCCAAGCGCGTCACCAATCAATGAAAAGAATGTATTCACTTGGATTTCATATGTGCCAAGACAAGCTTAGCTTGAAATTATATCTTAAAGTTATTAGCTCTTACTTCATTGATAAAATTGGTTACTTATATACCAGTTTTGTACAAATAAAATGTATGTACAATTGCTTATTTGTAATTTTCGATAATGGACGCTTAGTGTAAAGTGCTTGTCTTTTGAAGAAATGCAGATGCAGCATTTTTGTAAGTGTGCTACCTGGTTTTGTGTCTGCGTTAATTTCGATAGGTGACTTCTACAGGTAAAAATTAGAAAGAAATGGGAAATACTAGAACACGAAAAGATTAAATTCGATAACTTCGACCTTTCTTTACCTAAAATAAAAGTTTTCCATTTAATGTTGTTGAGTTATTTAGCGTATGTCCACGCTAATCACCATATCTCAGTTGTCAATTTTGGTTTCAACGGTTTAAAAGTGATAACACGAATTGACTGAAAATGCCGTTTTGGCCACTTGTTGCAAGACTTGTCCAGGATATACTATTGCAGCTCAAATGGCAAGTTCTGCCACACCCAGCCTGCTCACCAGATGCCTTCTGATTATCACTTGTTCAGATCAATGCAGCGTTCCTTTGCTGAAACGCGGTTCCACAAAGTTGAAGAAGTACGAAAGCCAAACCAACATCGTTCTTCTAACACTGTATCGACATCTTGGCAGAAAAATGGAAAAAAGTTATAGAAAGTGATGGAAAATATTTTGGTTAATATATATTGCACCAATTTTTCTCAACAAATGCCCTTTCAAAAAAACCTATCAAAATTAACACTACCCCCTAATATCTATGACTGCGTTACCTACATCAGGAATGTTGTGGTCTGAGGGCGTATTGAAAATAATTTATTATATAATTTCTTTATTCTATTATATATTTTATCTATTTATTCTCTACATCTTGTAGTCAGTTAAACAATATTACCGCCATTGATTTCACTAAGTGAAAAGATGTTAATTTTTTCGTTAACCCTAGCACTCTCACTAACGTTCTCTTCTTCTTCTACGAGATAAAAAATTGAAAATAGACGATTTACTGCCTTAAGTAAAAATGTTTTTAGCGGACGGTTTCTTTTAGATCTCTTACCAGAATCTCTTACCAGAAGTTTCCTACAATACAAACGAATAAGTGTTTTTGAACATAGCAGCACGTATGTATTTTACAATCATAGGAATGTCAGAATAAAAGTTGTCAAAGCGTGACAAACTTATCAAACAAAACACCGTTATATTATCGAATTAACATAACCATTTTGTCAGTCTTAAATGCCAGTAGAGATTACTCATTCATACGATTTATAATTGATAAAGAAAATATTTGAAATAATAAAAAAGTACATATTTTTTCTGATGTTACTTTTACAGATTTCGTATAGATAATACGGATCATATAATAGATGTAAATAAAGGTAATCTAGCATTCGAGTTTGATCAAGTTCATATAATATGCCCGGTGTATGAACCTGGGACGTTTGATAATGAAACGGAAAAATACATTATATATAATGTTTCAAAAGTTGAATACGAGACATGTCGGATTACTAATGCTGATCCTCGTGTTATTGCCATTTGTGATAAACCGCAAAAACTAATGTTTTTTACAATAACTTTCCGGCCATTTACACCACAACCAGGTGGTCTGGAGTTCCTTCCTGGGAATGATTACTATTTTATTTGTAAGTTAACATGAAATGATATCTATAGTAACTCAACGTAATATTCTTTGGCACTGGAATTAGCCAAGATTAATTACAAATTTGTTAAATGGTTCGGGCTATGTTTGTTCTGTCTCTCAACTGGACGCAGTGAATTTTGTTTGTGTATAAATTGCAATGCTATGCCCTTCTATGTGCTGAGTTACGTTGACTTGTTATAGTTATTTTGACAAATTTTGAATTGCTTAAATATTGCATTAAATGTGTTTTTTTTAGCAACCTCGTCCAAAGATGATCTATATCGGCGCATAGGTGGTCGGTGTTCAACTAACAATATGAAAGTTGTTTTCAAAGTTTGCTGTGCACCCGAAGAGAAAAATAAAACCTCCACCAGTCCTCAGATGATTGGTGGAAATAAAAATAACGGTGGAAGCCCAGGAGTTTCTGTACAACAGGTTGCTCCCACTGATATAGGAACTACCAGTGTTGAAGACCCTAATGGCTTGACAAATGTCAAGAATCTACATGCACCACATAATAACATAAACGTAATTGGTGTAAACGGTATGAATAGCGGCGTAATGCCCAATGGCGTCCTGAATATAAATACCGGCAGCACTAACAACAATGGAATGCAAGTGAATCCGGTTGTAAACAGTCCCAGTAGTACTTCAATTAACACAAATGTAGATCAATTTAACCGCATACCAATTCAGACAAATAACCTAAATGTTTTGGGTAATAACATCGGTGCTAATAACGTTGGTCTTGGTAGCCATGGTAGTGGCATTATATTAACCCATGGCAACAGCGGTGTTAATATGATACCGACCGGAGGGATCGGAGTAATAGGTCAATATCCCAGCCATGGATATCATGGACAAAGCGGAATACGCATAAATAATGTGCCATCATCCCATCATATAAATCACAAAAATAGCAATGGTAAGGACGAAAATGTCAAAGAAGTTAGTAATTATGACGGTACAGGTCTTATGGAAATTGGGTTCGGCAATAATTACTTTATACCACCCATAATTAACACAAACCACAGTAACATTGTACAAAGTACCTTAAATTGGCCAGTATGGGGCAAAGGGAACGACAATACTACATACACATACAAGCCAAATAACATATCATCTAATAGCAGTCAGGAAAATACTAACATATTTTCACCAACATCCCATAAACCAACAAATAAAAAAGGCAGAAGTAAGTAATTTCGATCTAATATTTACGTAGAAGCATAAGTCAGTTTATGATGGATCCTTTCACAACATGATCTTATTTACACACAAATAAACGCATACGCATACATATTTACAAATTTCTACCAATCCTGTATAGGGTCGTATTTAGGTATCCCTTATAAAACAGCATGTGAATTTGGTAATTATGAAATATTGAAGAAATTTCTATATTTAATTTGGTGTGCAGAGGTTTGTGCAAACAAAATGCTAACATCTTTCAAATTCAAATGCTGGGTATTGTTAAGAAAGTATGTTCAATAAAAATTCCACGTTCAATTTTATATGCACACAGCTTATATGTTTGCGAAGATCTATATGGCCAAGCTTTTAAGTCCTCATCTTTTAAAATTCATATCTTTGTTTGGTAAGGCAATAACATCAATGCTGTACATATTGTAGGGCTAATTCTTTAACTAATAAAATAATTTAATAAAGGTTTAGTGAATCTTATGCACACAGTTTCCTAATTCTGATTTATTATCACTAATTTTCATTTTGCATCAAGCAGAGGTCTATTCCTCATTTTTTGTATAAGCAATAGTAGACTAAGAAGAAGAAAGTTCATGCCATTTTCTTATATTCTTACTACAAACGTTACAACTTTAGTTACAAGTCTGCAAGTTGGGTGGTCGTCTTTACCATCTTTACCATATTGTAAGGTTTCACTTGTAGAGCACATTGCATTGATTGTTCTTGCTGTTTTTTTCTGAAAAATTTAATATATGGGAAAGTTCTTTCATGTTAAATCTTATGCATTATGTACAGTTTTTATAATTGTTATTGATATTAAAAGCATATTAATATAGCACTAATATTCTTATTTCTGTCGTGTTACAGCCACCATTGTAAGATGGGATATATTCATTTTGTTTTTTTCCATAATGTTTGTAACCCCCATAAGAAGCTTCAGAGAAAGTGTATATATTCTTGGTCAGCGTCAAATTTTGACTTGAATTAGCCATGTCTGTCCATCTGTGTGGTATGTGTTTTTGGCATCCTCCTAGTCGCATGAATGAAGGCATCTATTTTAAATTTGGTTGATACAATGAAAGTTTCTGCACGCAGATTCGCATGGAAAATGGACCAAATTAAGTCGAAACAGATGCGCGCAGTGGAGCGTAAACTGGACGCAACACCGTTTTCTTTTTTTTAAATGTTTGATTTTTTGCTCGTTACTCGGAACTTATTAAAGTATGAAGGTTCAGATTTTCCATATTTACTCTACGAAGCACTCTACTCTTTACGTCCAAACACGGAAACAATTGACCATATGCACGCCAAGTTGCAAGTAATTAAATTTTATTTTTTCACTTTTTTGAGGGCTTATGCTTATTTATCACAAAGAAACTAAGACAGAATGTTTAAAACTATTTTGTACACTTCTGAAATGAAGACATATTATCTGCCTAAAAATGGGTTAATTTTAAGATCAATATGGTAGACGTCGCGATTAAGTTTTTCTTAATAATACCAGCGATATGCGCATCAAATAAAAGAACTTGCATAGTGGTGGGTACGCGAGATTCGGCCACGGCCGAATACAACTTTTTTACTTCTTTTCTGGTTGAGTTTCTGGTCGTTACCTTATTTTGTAAAATTGAGACCTAATCAGAATCCCCCGTTGTAGAAATGTGTAACTAAAAAAAATTGAGACAATAAATATGAGATAACTTTTTTTAAAAATCAATTTCCCAATTTTTTTGGATACTTTAATTTATTAATGGATCCTGATTGTTTACAAAAATAATGCATATATTTTTATTACCGTCTAATTCTTTAAGGCTTGGGAACAATTTTTCTCAATCAATTTTCCATTAGCAATGATATCTCCCGTGTGGTTATCTTGGACATAACTTTTTTATATTTTCGGATAATCAATGTATCTTTTAGTGTATGGCATACTTATCATAGTCAGTAACAGTTAACAGCATTATTCACTTCCAAAGGTTGTGTATTCTCACTCCTTTTTGTTGTTACGTTATTATAATTCTTGGTCTTCCTGGATTGCAATGTTTTTGTCACTTTCAAAATTTTTGACGCCTTTACGTCATCAATATTAATGAGACGTAAGTCGTCCACGGTCCATCCTTGATATGTTCAACAGTAAACTCATGTCCTAGATGTAATCGCATTCTCATGAGTTTTGATGATAGGTCTTTCAATGAAAGTAAATCAGTCAGTAGCTGATCAAAAATTTGCGGCCATATACGTAGGGTTTAAAATAACCCATTGCTCAATGTATACTGGCAAGCTTTGTTTTCATTGTAGATTAGGCTCTCGCCTTTTGTGAATGCACGAGATGGGTTAATTATTGGCATTTGTAATCCATTGTGCTCTTGGGCAGCATGCATATTTACCGATTTCGGTGATGATGGAAAATTCCGTTTGAATATCTGTGTATTGTGGAATCTTGGGACTTATTAACTGCTTTTTGAGATAACTGAACAGTTGTTCACATTGAGTTATCCACTCAAAAGGTATAGTTTTTCGATTCAACTTACTGACTTGCTTTTGGGATTGTACAAAATTTGCCATTGACTTCCTATGGTAATTGCAAAAAGCTACGAAGCTTTTCGCTTCATCACCATTTCTAGGTTAGACAATTCAGAATTAAAAAATATATACTATCATCCGGTAAAATACCTTCGTGTGTACATTTATGTCCCAAAAACGTCACTTCATGGCAAAAGAATGAGCATTTACGTGAACGTAATTTGAACGTACACTGCGGCATGTATCAAAGACGCCTCTAAAATCCCGCATCTTTGAACATCCAATTACGACCAAACTGTTCATGCCAACGAACGGCCAATGTCGTCATTCGTTGAAAGGTTTTGGGAGTAACCTTTGTGCCGTAGTGAAGTCTTCTAAACCAAAAAGATCCGTTTCCCTTAGAACAGGATGTTATGTTCCGTGATTCGTTTTCAAGATCTATCTAATGAAAACCAGACACTAGACCCAGACAAGCGAAAAATCTGGCTATACCTAATTGATCCAATGTGTCATTCATATGTAGCGGAGGAAACTTGTCGGTTAATAGTTTTTTGGTAACTCTACGATAGTGTGCGACTACCTCTTCTCTTATCATTCTTTCCTGTTAATGATTTTTCGGATCCTAGTAAAATAGAGTTGTTGCATCCATATGTGGATAATTGCTCTATACTGTCTACAAGTAGTTCTTTTACCTGTTTGTTCACTTTTTTTTTTGGGAATGGGGAATCCTGAAGTTTTTAATGTCTACTGGTTCGTTGTCCTTTAATCTAAGTTTCTGTCGATAAAAGTTATTTTCCGAATCCAATCTAAAAATATTTATAAAACTAGAGCATTACTTGTTTAATTCCTTTCTCACGAATTCTGGAAAACTTCAATCTATTCAGTTATGTCTATTGCTCTGGTCATTTTGAAGTGGCTGGAATATAGCTTAATCAGATCATATATGATGGTATTGCTTATTTTAACTATGGGAAGTGGTTTTGATATTATTGTGGGAAACGGCTTCCTGTAGCATCTGGTTAGGTATGAAAGATATATTATCTACTTTAGTATGCTAAATAAGTTTGACCACTTCTAATTTTGCTTGGATGGATATCGAACATCCTTAAGATGAGCTTTGTATTGGTATAGCAACGTCTACATGATGTAATGACCTTCCAATGAATCAATCTTAGTTATCGTGATAGTCGAGTTGTATATTCTGACAAAGTTCATCTCAATGATTCTATCATTTGAAAGTGGAAGGTATCGTGTACAACATGGAAATCATGGGCAATGAGAAGATCTTCAATATTCGAGTCTGTCTCTACCTTATCAAATATGTTTATTAATTCCTGAAGAACACCATTAAGACCTGTATATGTACCTATATGTTGGTGAAGAATTGTACTATCCTTGAGTAATGAAATATCGGCTCTCGCATCTACTAGAAACGTTAGTTTTTCTGCATTAAGGGTTGTTCGAGCGGAGATAAAGCTTTAGAGATTTAACTGGATCTGGAAGGCTTTACTGTTTATGCATTTAGGATGGTTATCTCGTTTCCCGTATTGTCGGTAACGTGGCGAGAATTTCGGTTGTTGTGTAATTTCAACAGCCCATTGTGGTGTCTATCTCGATAACTGTTTCAATTATGACCCCTGTTGTCATTGTTCCGGTATCGCCGCTGCAGCCGTTTCCTCTTCCTCGCTCTGTAAAATTATTGTGACCATTTCTACTACTGTTGTAGCGAAAGATTGCATTGAATTGACCATACACGTTAGTATGTGTGCTAACAAATTTAGAAATCATTTCGTTCGTGTTGGGAAATTGCCTGCATAATGGTATGAACCTTGTCGCTTTGGCGATTCATAGTTATTGCTTTCGTAGTTATTCTTTGGCATTATCTAATGATAGTCCATTCGAAATGTAAGCACATTGAAGAGATTTTGCTAGGTCTTGGATTTCCTTCACAAATGCATGCGCATTCCTTCCCTTTTGTCTTACGTTCATTAACTATACTGTTAGTGTGTTAGTATTTTCCCGCTTGACAGAACCCCTTAGTTGATTCATAATTCGTTGGCGGCTTGTCTCTGTGAAAATTGGGTTTCACGTCGTCGCTTTCAATTTTACACTGACTACAACAAATGCTGCTTTTTCGTGTGAGTATTTTATTATGGTTAACAGAGCAATGGCATGCAGAAAAACTTGTTTTCTGGTTTG